AGTTTACCCACTTTAAAATCAGTTCAAGACTCTTCTCTGGTTACTTCACAGCTATTTATGGCAACCATAATTACATCCAGAGGAGGTTATTGTGGCAGAAGTTGATGGATTTTTCTAATCAGATCAAGGATGCCTGGATGGTGGGGGGTGACTTTAACTCAATTGCTTCCCATTCTGATCATTTTGGGCCCTCACTCCCTCACCTATCTAGCATGACTGAGTTTGCTAATTGCATTTCTACCTGTGGTTTTATCGGCCTACCTTTCAATGGATCTAGTTACACCTGGACTGGAGTTAGGTCTAATGGAAGACTGTGGAGAAGGCTGGACAGAATCTTATTTAACAGTCATTGTATTGACAACTTTGATCACATTCAAGTGACACATCTTAACAAGACCCCTTCAGACCACTCACCTATTCTTATACAGCTTCACTATAAAGGATCTTCTGGGCCTAAATCATTTAAATTTCAAAAAAAGTGGTGTTCTCACCCTACCTTTCTTGAGTTGGTTAAAAAAAGTTGGAACTCTAATGTTTTTGGTGGAGGGATGCTTGGATTGGTCAATAAGCTTAAATGCTTGAAAAAGGATCTCAAAAAATGGAATACTGACATCTTTGGTAACATTTTTGATGAGATTAATCAGAGTGAGCAGGAGGTTTTAAATGGTGATCCAGCCATCTATGTGTCCCCTTTGTAGAAGAGATACAGATACTACTAATCATGTTTTCTATGGTTGTTCTTACTCTGGAGCTATTTGGTCATACTTCAGCCAGATTATGAATATTCCTATCCCTACTACTTTGCATTCTATCAGGCATATGTTCTTTTTGTGGTGGCTTGAAGCAGGTAGTAAGTCCCTCATTGATATATTTCGACTTAATCTTCCGGGAATTATAAGTTGGCACATATGGAAGCTTTATTCTGATCTTATTTGGGGATCTCAGCAGACTGCTCCTAAGATTGAAAATACTATCTGGAGAATCAAATTTTATACTCAATCTTGGGTTCTAAGTTTCAATCAGCCTAAGTTCAGGAACATTGACGATATTCTATTTGAAGAAAGCCTCATTCCTATGAATTTTAGATCTCAAAGGATTACTAAACCAGTCAGATGGATCAGGCCTAAGCGTGGTTTCAAACTTAATGTTGATGCTGCATATATACCTAGAAGAGCGTCCGGAGGAGCTATTTTGCGAAATGAACAGGGACATTTGATCGGTGCTATATCGTTCCCCATAGATGCACTCTCCAGTCTTCATGCGGAGTTGTTAGCGTTATTCAGAGCGACCAGTTGGGCTGTTGACGAAGGTTATGAACATTTTGAGGTTGAAACTGATGTCGAGGAGCTCGTCGAGTATGTATGTGGTAGGAAATGTGGAAGATGGAAAGATGAAGTTGATGACTTCAGGCAGATCTGTTTTAGGAAAGGCATTGGGTTCCGACATGTATTGCGTGAGGGGAACGAGCCCGCTCACTTACTTGCAGGATTAGCAACGGGCCATTTTATATCTTGGGCTGCTTTGGACTCTTTGCCTGACCGGTTAAGGTTGCTATTGTTTTTTATTTATTTAATTTTCCTTCTTTTAAAAAATTGTTTAAATTTTGTAAGAGATATTGGTCTAGTCCCCGTCTTTTTGTAATTCTCTTCTTTTTTAATAAAATCTGACAAATGTCCCTCGACATTTGTCCCACTGATTTTGGTGGTTTGTCTTCCGAGGTTAAAAAAATAGGACTTGGGCCCTAAACATTAAATGGCCCTTGTCCATTTAAAGCCTAAACTAATGATTACATTTATTCCGTAAAAGGTAAAATACAAGATAACTAAGACAACTTGATCACAATAAATAATCTTCAACATTTTCAATCACTCCAACTTCATATCAAATAATTATCAATACATTTTCTATCTCTGGTCTTTTATTGATAGTGAAACTTTGATGGATAACTCCATATTTGTAGTGTCAAGTATCGGTAAATTTTAAGGTTGTTATGGTATTTCACTCTTTATACGCAAATTATACCGTGAGATCGGCCCACTATGCGCATGGTGTGCCTATCGCACTATTAGCTACTTGAACGATACTTTTTCTTTCCTAGAGCATCGTATCTCATTTTTCCTTTGCTTTTTTTTTCTTTTCTTCGAATCTTTTCTTCTTCTCCATCAAAATACTAAAAATTTATTTGTAATTTTACTTTTCTTTATCTTCAACTTAAATTATAACCCAATCTATTATTTTTATTCAATTCGTAACAAACAATTTATAAATTTAAATTTTTTTTATTTAAATAAAATAATTATAATTTAAATAATTATTTTTAAATAAAATAAATTAACTTTATTAATATATTTTTAAATAATTATTTTTATATTTATATTCATGCACTACTTTTTTTATCTTTTTTATATTCATACACTTTTTTGTAATACATTTTTGTATTCGTACATTTTTTTCTATAGTATACTACCTCCGTCCCTTAAAACTTTGCCAAAGTTGACCGACACAGAGAATAATAAAGTAAAAATTGTGTGGTTGAGGTTTGTGCAAGAGAAAGAGAAATAACTAGAACCACAAAATAATTGATTAAAAGGGAAAGTGACAAAGTTTTTTTGGACGTCCCAAAAAAGAAAGATGACAAAGTTTTAAGGGACGAAGAGAGTATATTTTCTCTCTTTTATATTTTTGTAAGAATTTTTTAAGACATTGAGTTTTGTTTATTTCGATTCATGGAGTTACATTTGATAATATATGGAGTTGCATCTTCTTGTGCGCGAGTTATATCTTCTTATGTGTGAATTACATCTTCTTATACGCGAGTTACATCTTATGCGCAAGTTACATTTTTAGATGTGCAATTTACATTTAAACTTGCCTCAACATGTTCAAATGTAATTAACTTATTACATTTGAAATAATTAAATTACATCTGAATTAATTAACTATTTTTCTTTACCAATTTATTACAAAATTTTATTAATTCACATAAAATAAGTATATTGTATTTCATAATTATACACTATATTTTTTACTTTTTTTATTCAACTAAAATTAAAATCAAAATTACTTTTTCTATAATACTTTTTTATATTTATACACTTTTTTTGTAATATATTTTTCATATTGATACACCTTTTCTATAATATATTTCTTATCTCTTTTATATGTTTTTAGTGTTTTTAAGACATTGGGTTCGTTTATTTCCATTAACGTTTGATAAAACAGGTGGTTACATTTTCATGTGTATGATTTACGTATTTCATATGTGTGAATTACATTTGTACATGATTATTTGATTTGAGTTATATTTGATAATATATAGAGTTACATCTACTTATGTGTGAGTTACATTGTTTTATGCATTAGTTACATCTAATTATGCGCGAGCTACATCTAATTATTTGATATTTTTTACTTATCTTTATCTTTAACTAATTAAATTACAACTGAATTAACTTTTTTTCTTTGCCAATTTATTAAAAAATTTATTAACCCACATAAAATAAGTATATTTCATTTTATTGTTTAGGTGTGTTTAGGTGTGCTTTTTAGTTTTTCCATTAACACTAGTTCGATGAAATCTCATATGGCTAGTTTTTATTATTGTTGTGTAATCTTAGTTAAGGTCGGTTATGTTGGAAGAGAAAAGTTTGAGGTTTGGAGGGAGCTTCAATAGACACAGACGCTCGGCACCGGTAACCAGATTTGTTTGGGAGCTGCGTTTTTTGTGACAATTACAATCAGAATTGAATCTGGTTGGAATTTAACTTACTACCTCCGTCCCGGAATTATCTCCTTATTTGACTAGGCACCAGTTTTAAGATAGTGGGAAATGTGTGGTGAAGAGTTGTGCAGAGGAAAAAGAAATGTGTAAGAATGGTTGTGAACCACAAATTCTTTGCCAAAAAGGGAAAGAGAAGATAAATTTGAGATGGACCGAAAAGGAAAGAATAAAGATAATTCCGGAACGGAGGGAGTATATATTACTCCTTATTTTACAGTCCTATTATAATATGTTATTCCTAGACATATATGACAATCAATACCCACATTCTATAACTTTGTGAGGTGTACTCTTCTAATTGAAATCTAGTAATTTTAAACTCATAGAGAACTAAATAAATGAAGTGTATCTTAAGAAAGAGTCATTGGTTTTATAGTTTCAGTGCATGTGTTTAACATACTATCCATTAGTGGATCACCCCTCTTTCTATGGTTTAAAAATCTTAAATGTGTACATGAATTTAAAATATTGATCTTATTTCTCTAGATAACAAAGTCAAGTTTCCAATTATCAACTTTTAAAATCAGCAGTTTTATCTAACATTAGAAAAGTGGATATTAAATTCAAATACCAAATTCATTGCATTTAGCATTGTTAACAATCCATGAGAAATATATAGCGGTTTACAATTAAACTTTAGTTCTACGCTATAATTTTAGACTGATACTCTAGTTTCCAGACTATATAAATAACATTTTTATATCACAACCAGCAATCGTATTCTATAACGTTGAGAGTTAGTGAACTAATTTAAATCTGGAAATTTTAAATCTAGGAGTTCATGAACCATATCATATGCTGAGAATAATAGATTTGGACATTAAATTAAATAGGTGATGAACATACTATGACCCATTATAGGCGAGGGCAGAAGACGATTGTGTATCAATTTGGGAACTAAGTGAATTGAAACAATTTCAATTGAAGTATGGGTGTTCGACAATTTAAGTAGAAATCAATTTCAATTGAAACAACTCTGCTTTATTAGTACAAAAGTAGATAACTACATAAAAATCCTAAATACCCAGGCCGGGCCCAATTCTTAATAATATATTCCAAGAACCGGCCAGACCAAACCAACACCGAATCTATGCCTAGTCCAGAAACATTAAAATAAGTAATCGTTCCAGTTCTTTATCCGGTCCTAGTCTACTGGTAGAACTGAATCCACCCCTAATAGAGTGGAAAGGATAAATAACGGAGAATTAAACGTGGAAATGGGAAGTTTAAGGAGTGCAATTTCAGTGAAAAGTGGAGTGTGTAACTGTAACTTCTAACTTGTATGAGGTTGATCTCATCACACCTTTGTTACAAGGAGAGTTTGAAAACCTACAATATGTATAGATTATACATAATACTCCGTAAGAATGATAAGAGAGGAAGTTCTCCCCACTAGAATCACAATACAAACAAATACCAACAGCATTAACAAAGGAAGTATACATCAAAAGAAGAGAAAGGCAACTAAAAAGGCATAGCATCCAACCATCCATCAACACCAAAAAAACATAAAAGATGTATACAAGCGGCTGTTATGAAAATCCTCCAAATGTCAAGATTCAAGTTTCAATGAAACAACTCTTGACTGCCTGTTACGCTTGGCCGCCTTGACAAAGACTACAGAGATGCATGATGGAGCCCACCACGGACTGTGTACTTTCTGTTCACCCTTTAAGCAAGCCACTGACGGAAAAAAAGCCTTTAATTTAGCATCATCAAAGAAGCATGTCAGGATTGGGAGGGGAGGGGTGGGGTACATAACAGCATTCTTCTATGACAGAACAATCGGGCTAATATTCAACTTTTGTTTATTTTACTTAGATTAGAATCACCGTAGGTGGGAGCCTTTGCAGCACTGGGGTAAGGATGATGAGGTTAGAATCAATGTGGCAAAGAGCCACAACAGGGCTTATATTAAACTGGGGTCGGTGGGGTGAGGCAATGCCTCTAAAATGGCTGAAACTGGGTCGCACTCAAGGTGACTTGAGAGGGAGATTATAGTTACTAAGCGGCCATGAAAATGGCTCATGTCAGGACATATGTCGAACTGCGACTGGGTTATAGGTTTAGGTACGCCTACAGGATGCAGGCCAAGGGACACAAAGCCTAGTCAAGCTGGATGGGCACTAAGGCAGTACAGCTAGGTTACGAGCATCAATTTTATAGGCTGATTGCTAGGCTGCCACAACCACTGTTGAACCAGCTGGTCAGGTGACAACTGGTCTGAACATCCAACCATGCCGGTCCAGTAGGTATTCACCATCAGAGGATGAGGTCTAAGTGGGATTAGGTAAAGCCTATGAGTGTTTATGATCAAGGCTAGCTAGGCAAGGATTTTACAAGAAATGCTAGAACCCCAACAGTGTTTATAATGTTCAACTATGCTAACAAGGGGTGTGTACGAGTAAATTTGCACCAGTGACAGAAAACATGTAGAGTGTAGACCATTATAATGGAACCCTAAAGTTATTCCAACTCTAAGCAGGCAGGGCAAGACTTCAATAAAATATTATCTTGGACCACCATATCAAGAAACTAGCTGATGATTTCTTAAGTTTTGCGCAAGCAGCAATGCAACAATAGGAATTGTTAAGGGAGAGAAAGAGACCTTTAATTCTCCTAAGCTCCTTACATAATGTTATGAAATCTCCCCATTTCATGTGGCATCTTCTTATAAACCGTAGGATCTGTTCAGTTGAGAACATTGACAACCCTTCCAGGTACTCCCCATTAACACCATTTTCTTTGAAACTTTGCCTATAGTTACCGAGATTAATTTCTTCCAACCACAGGCCAACATCCTGCCAACAAGAACAAGAAAAATACATAATAAATTCAAGTTGCTTTACTAAATATCATTCAGTGCAATTAACAGTACTCGACCATAATCAGTCTTTTTTTCTTCTTCTTTGTCTATCGCATTAACATTGGTCAATAGGATAACAACCCTAAACGTTATGGGTGTAGTTTGTGTTCCTTCATTAACTAACAATTCAGAACACTCGCTGTTTTTGGTCAAACTAGAATACCCATACTGAAATTTGGCGAAAACAGACAAACCCCTCTACATCCAGTTTAAAGAGAGGTAACTAAAACAGTGTGCTTTTGAAGATTGTACGAGGTTATACACCTTTAGAAGAATCTATAGGGTCATTCACTTCTAAAAGAGTCACTAACTTATCAAACAATAAAAAGCATATTTCTTGCAAGAAATAGGCATGGGAGCAAATGAACTTTCCCTCTACATCCTGTTTATACTTTAAAGAAGTAAAAAAAGTGTGCTTTTGAAGATTGATTAAGGCCATTCACCTTTACAAGATTCTATATGGTCATTAACTTCTAAAACAGTCACCAAAATGCCATACAATAAAAATCTGATTTCTTGCAAGAAATATGCATGGGAATCTGCAAATGAACTTTCACCTCTAGTTCATTTTTCGAAATTAGAAATACCATAAAATTAGATCTTAAATAAGCGACTTTCATTGTACACTAGACCATATCCCAAACAGTCATAAGATTTCAACACTATGTAAGTTAGCAGAAGTTCTATAAACGTTCCTTAAAAGGTAGCACCGTAGCATAGCCAATGATAAAGCAGGCTTGAGGCTTATATTTATTTATTTAACCTCACATGAAAAAAGGCTCATACATAAATAAAAAGTAACCCATACTTTAAAAATTTCATACAATTCATCTAACCAGGTGGAATCTTAGAAATAAAATCCTCAATTACCATCCTTAATATATACGAAGTATATCACCATGTAGCTCATAAACAGAACAATAACTGCATGACAAAGTTATAAACTTCATGAAAATAATCAAATATATAGATCAATAATAATAAAGTTAGCCACAAACTGAGTTTATTACAGAATACAATCATAGTTACAACTTCATATTTTCATAACCCTAGCATTCAAAATTTTCCTCTTTGAAGAAATCATATCCTAGTCAGTTCTTTAACTTCTCCCTTAGCAGAACAATGCAAAGGAAAACACTCTCGTATACCACTATTACTTTATCTATGAACACAAAGACTACATTCTAAACTTTGTACCGAAAGGACAGGGCTTTCAGACAGGTGCTCATTGCTCAACACAAAAGATTTTGGGGCCGGCTTAACATGAACTGATCCATGATATCAGAGCAAAAAAGAGAAGATAGATGAAAAGGAAAAACAGAAAAAAATAAAGTAAGATAAAATGGATAAAATAAAGTAAAATACAAGATAAAAAAGAGATGAACATAAGAAAGATAAAAGATAAAACGATGAAAAGCATAAGAAATATAGAAAAAATTGACTTTAAACACTCAACATCTCCAAAAAAATATATAGAAAACCCCAGAACAGATTAATACACAGTTAAGGATCAGCTCAAAATTGCTGCAATTTGGAGCGTCTGTATTGGCTGGAATGGCTGAGAATATTTGTGATCAGTATTCAAGCTTAGCAGGTTGATTCAGAACTAGCAGAAGCCGAGATCCAGATGAAGTACTATCAAGAGAATGAGCAAATTAGTACCTCAACTGTCCAAATGAAGAAATTAAGTGGCTCAGGCGGTGTCTCTCTGCTCATACCTGAAAATTCATCGAACATCGGCAAAAGAAATTGGTACAAGATGAAAATCGTGATAATAGATCGTAGAAATTCAAAAAATGAAATATGCAATCACCAACCTCTAATTTGCCTGAACTTTTTATGGTTAGCACTAGGGTTTTCAATAACCAGGCAAATGATGTGCGGGAAAAGGTGATTCGGAAAAAAGGGAAGGATGTACTCGGTGTTTTTCTCTCCTATCAACACCGTATCCTGCCTAACTGTAGGTGAGTTTCGACTACCTTCAGATTCAGAGGAGTAAAGGACCCACTATGCGTCTGCCATGTTTTGAACTACCCTCACCCATTTGGAATATACTTTTGTGGGTGTTTGGAATGAATATCTTGTATTGTATCATTAAATTATGATTTTTAATTTTATTTTTTGTTTGGATAGTTATTTTAAGAATAAAGAGAGGCTTATATTGATATCTCAACTACACGTAAATAAAACTACCGTCCTAAAAAAATTTGTCATTTCAAAAAATTTGAACATTGATTTTGATTAGTATAATATTATAGAAATTGTAATTTTATACTTAAGTTAATTATCAAAATAGGACTAAAAGTCATTCACTTTTCACAAATAGGACCAAAAAATAAACTATGTTTGCATAGGACTAATTATGTGTACCTTGGACAATTATACCCTTATAGCTATTAAAATGTTTTAATTCTTAATAAAATAATAAAAAATAATAAAAATTCGTAAAAAATACTAAAAAATTAAGAAAAACATTTCGATATTAAAAATTTAATTAATTTTTTTTCAAAAAATTAAAAAAATTTAAAAAATTAAAAAAAAATTAAAAAAAAATAAAAACTCAAAAAAAAAATCGTCGCCGCCTCTGCCGCCTCAGCACCACCACCTCCAGTCACCAGGGAAAAAAATGCCAAGTTCATTACGAATGTCATATTTATGGCAGAAAAAATGAAAATGTTGGCATTCGAAAAGAGAAATATGCCACTTTTTTGGCATTTTCAGGAAAAAATGGCATTTTTCTGGGAAAATGGCATTTTTTTCATCGGCCGGAGGTGGTGGTGCTGGGAGGTAGTACAGGCGGTGGGAAAGGCATCCATATTTTTTTAAATTTTTTTTACGGAGTTTTACTATTTTTTATGAATTTTTTTAAAAATAAAATTATTTTAAAAAAAAAAGGTTTTTGAATTTTTTATTTTATAAAAATTTTATAAATTTTTTAATTATATTTCTACGAATTTTTGAATTTTTTCCGAATTTATTATGAATTAAACATTTAATTATGGCTTTTGACTATTTTTAATTCATATTTAATGGAAGGGTAAGAATGGAATGCAAAAATAGGTATGTTTCCAATAGGACTCATATGGTCCTATTTTGGAATAAAAACATAGCAAGTCCTATTTTAGGTTTTTGCCATAGTTTTAGTCCTATTTGAACTAATTTCTATTTATACTTCTATGAAATTACTTTTAACAAAAAACATTTTCATATAATATCCATATTATAAATAATTTTCAATAAAAAGATATAGTCGGTGAAAGTTTTGAAAATGACAAGTGATTGAGTATATGGGTCCAGACCCCATGATCCACATACTCAGAAGACTAAGAGGAGCACAACTGTAATCCAGTCGGCCCTCCGTCGGCCAGATGGTACCCCATCGGTCGAAGAAGAGTCAACCCGGAATATGCTCCAGAAGCCAAGGAGAAGACTTGTCCTCCATCGGCCAGTGCCCCCATCGGACAGAGGTCTCTGTCGCCCGAGCGTCTCCGTCGGCCATGTCTCCATCGGCCGAGCGTCTTCGTCGGCCATGCCTCCGTCGGCCGAGCGTCTCCGTCGACCAGAAGGAACTCACAGAACTAGATTTCTAATGTAATCAGCCCAATAGAGGCTCTATATTGTAATGGGCATCCCAAGCCCAAGAATTGGGAGCCCAACCCACTTTTTCCTATAAATACTCCCCTTGGGAGAAGTTGTAAGGGTTCACAAATCATTAATAGCAAGCATTTACTACATTTTTCTCTCTAGCTCTCACTTCTCTCTAGAATATATACTCTATCATTTGGTGCTTTCATTGAGAGCTAGAAGAATCAAGTTAGCATCCTTCGTCGCTATCAAGCACAGCTAACTGAAATGGGAAGAACTAAGTCCAACCGCAACCTCATCGGCAAGGCGATCCCTAAGGCCCAAGAGAACAGGGGACACGAGGAGGACGCCACGGTCGACATGGCCACGGGCGGGGATGTTTTCTAGGAAGCCATCGACCTCACGAATGATTTTCGCCACCAACTCAACGGCGTGGCTCCCGACGCCCGCATCGGCCTGGATAAGAAGTGCCTGGAGAAGGACGACAATGCCTCAGAGCAACCGGTTTCTCCTGCCGTTGACCCTCAGCTCCAAGCCGCACTCTCAGCCATCATCGCTAGCCTGGCCCAGAACCCCACCGTCCTTAGCGCACTCATGCCAAGAACTGGGGAGAACACAACGCCGCCTCCTCAACCCCAGCCGTTGCCAATCAAGATAGGCAACGACGAAGGGGTGGCGCCCCAGGACACATCGTCATCCCACTCCCACCTTGCTTCCCCACTTCGAGCTGGACCGGCCCCAACGCGTGGAAAAGCCTCAGCCTTTAATAGGCTAAGTGACACGCGCTGTCGGCCTACTTCGGAGAGGATGGCAGGATGGATTGGTGAACGTGAGCCTGGCTCACCAAGGGAAAGCTGGGGGTCCGTACCCCGGACAGCGGATTGGCCCCGCCTGGACAAAGGTAAAGGCAAGCTGTACGAGGACGATGCGTGCCACCGAATCAACACGGCTCACGAAGCCCGCGTGCGCAACCAGCAAGGTGCCACTATGGCCGCTAAGGACCCCCGGGACGAGGTCATCGCCGAACTGGAAAGGAGGTTGGCCCAGATGGAAGCCAAGCAGTCGGCAACCATTCCTACGGCCAACACGTTCAGGGATCCTGGTTTCAATGCTCTCCTGCATAAGGTCAGCGTCCTGGAAAGGGAGTTGGCCGAGGGGAGGGATGACTCCATCATCCAGGTCAGGACCAGGACTCCCTTCACTGCAAGGGTACTCTCGGCTCCTATTCCCTAGAAGTACAAGGGAAATGTCATCAAGCCCTGTTGGTCTCGGTTGTACTGGGTACAATCTAGAGTGAGGGGGGGTGAATAGACTGTACTGGTTTTTAATTTTTTCAAGCCAAGTATCAAATTTAACAGAATAGCCTGTTCTGTTGGCAGAACAGACTGGCAGCGGATGGTCTTCTGGTAGGGGTTCTGTCCGGTTGGCCTCTAAGAGATGCAAAGGCAGTAGGCCTTCTGTTAACTCACAGGAGGGGTTCTACTGAACACAGAGACCCAAATTCTGGAGTTAATCAGTGGAAGTAAAATGCAAGAAATAAAAGCAGTAAGTAAGTGACATCAGGGATTTTTATAGTGGTTCAAGGAACAACTCGTTCCTCTAATCCACTGGTCCACTAAGCTTGTAAAAGATCCAATTACAAAGCTTTAGCCCTAGCACTTAAGAAGCTCTACACGTATTCTTCAAGCCTAGATGTCTCCTGGGATGCACTTCCTTGCTTCCTTTAAGACTGGTCCTTTCACTGAGCTTCCTTGAAGTATCACCACTTCACTACTCCAGTTACTTGGACGTCCTTCTCGTTCGAGAAGAGTTCTTGACAGAACAGGGGTTTTCCAACTAGCTTCGTTACATAAGATTTGTTGTTGAAGTGCTTGAAGTGTTGAAGAACAGTTGGAACTTTGCTATTGTTGAGATATGAAGATAGAGAAATATTATCTTCCCAACGAACGCCTTTCTTGTTGTGGAAGATGACGTTTTTGATCTCAAGACGGCTTGTGTGTTTGAGTGTTTGAATATTTTGTTCGAGCACGAGTTTTTCAAAGTGTTAGCAAAAGTTCCTCTTTTTTTTTATGTTCTTCGAGTAATATCTTTTATACTGGGGTTGTCTTCCCGTTGGAGGAGGAGGACAACTGCATTAAATGAGCGAATAGTTGACTTGACCAGTAGGGCCCGGTAAAGTTGGCGGGTTACTATTTTGGGATAAAGTTATCCTGAAATATCCTGGAATGTCGGCCAATCATTAGCTTTTACTCTTCAGGGTACGGGAAGCCTTAAATGTGCATTTAATGCACGTACTGTAGCTTTTCCATTGATGTCTTCAAGCCGTTGAAGGAATCTTCAGATGGTTTCACAGGCTTGGGTACTTTCATGAAAATTCTCTAAGTATCAGGCCTTCTGGTGTCTTCAGTAGTGGATCAACCAGAGAGGGTCTCGAGCACTTCTGTTGGACTAACTACTAGAGGATGCTTAGGTCTTCTGTCAAGGAGTGAACTAACGGAGAGTCTTGACAATTTCTGCTTTAGTGAAATTGACGAGCACTTTGTCACGGTGCGTCAAAATAAATCGATACTAACACTTATACGTAGTATAGCGTAGTAGAGTTCGTATCCACAGGGAAAGGAATAATTATCTTCTTATGAAACTTAGTAAATAAAGGGGGGGTTTGGTGATGAATGATTTAATTAAATTAAAAACTAAGATGAATGACTTATATGAGATTTAATTCAAAGATAAAAAGGACTTGCCATTGCTACTTTCCACTTGTTGATATATTTTAGTCGATCATTGTTATATCTATAACTTATTCCCTCTCGAATACTCAATCGGGGAGTATATCCACTTCATCGAGGGTAGTTATTTACAACGACCGTTCATTAATAACCCTTACTATTAATCAATATAGAACGATTTCGGTTTCGGTTAATAGTAGCATATAATCTTTCTAACTCCTTGATGAAATCAATTGAGATTGATAACCTCAACACAACGGTTTCGGTTTAACCAACAAAATTAATCCCTCTTAAGTTTATTAACCACAACCGTGCATTAATAAACTGAAGTTACTTACTTGTGAAACCATCGATGATTAATCATCGGTTCATTGATCGTTTCTAGTAATAATTAATATATGAAACAAAACTAGTTGATCCTTTAAGTAATGTTCAAAATATTAATATGAAATATGAATAGGAATTAATTAATATTCAAGGAAGAATATTATTAAAGATGAATCCTACTATAATTAATATCAAGATGTTAACTAATTGTCATCTTAGCAACACTCCCCAACATTAATATAGACGAAGAAAATACTACTATAACTAATGTCAAAATGTTAACTAATTGTCATCTTAGCAACACTCCCCAACATTAATATAGAGATAGTATTAAGGAAAGAGATAATAATTAATATTCAAGGGAAAATGTTTAAGAAAATAACTCACTACTTTAATAATCAACAAACTTCAAGAGCAACACCAAGAATTGGAA